AATTGAAAACATTCTATATTTTACACAGTAAGTATATAACATAAATTTTAATCAAAAATAAACGCGTCATAACATTGATGACGTTTTGAGAGTTTACCTGTGAAAGGTGCAATTATCAGGATTACTTATATTATTAACACCGCAGTCACTCGCAGATTAAGTAACCATTTTTCAAAAAAGTTACATTATAGAAATAACCACTCTAAAAAATTACAAAATATCTAATAGCTATTTCTTGCGTGCCGAATTGTGACGATCTGTAATTCGAAACTGGTTACTTACAGAGTCATGAGATTTGGTATTCTTTTCTATCTTGTATTTTTGCCTCAAGGAATTTTCTTCTCCCTATGTAGGTCTATACGTCAGTATATTCTAAGTCTATGGGACACACAGACTACTAAGAGGATGGACAATAGGGTAGGAAAATAAATCCATGCTACGATACGGGCTCTTTTTAAAGAGTAGCCAAATTTTAAACTTAAGTTTTAATATATAAATAATGATATACCGTTATTGCAGTTTTTGAAAATACGAGTAAATAAGGCTTCTACTTTTTGTATCAAATTGGATGTGATTTATGGGTAGGTAACAAAGTTTTTGCCTACCGATCGACCCTTACGAATGTGTGCGTGCGTAGTAAAATCAGTTAAAATAATGCATTACCACGCATTTTAAATTAAGATAAAAAGGACAGAATTATTGAGATTTTATATTTAATTTTTCTTCACCATTTGCCTAAATTGCTTATTTTTAACCTTCTCTGCAAATTTGGCCGGTTATTGCAAAATAACCCTGTATATGTGATATGATATATTATGGTAATGTAATATTAGGTATATTTTCAAATTGTTGAAAATCGCCACCCTAGACTACATGTTTAAGTACTGTGATCACAATTTATTCAATTTTTCAAAAAAAATACAGCCGCGCCGACACCGCTTGATATCTTTGTACATTTTTAGTAATACATTGCTAGCCACTACCATCACACGTGAAAGCTGATCGTTTAGAAGTTGGGAAACTGAAAAGCAAGAAGTCAATGAAATGTTATGGGTTCATCATATTTTGATGCAAACACAACAACATGATGGATACAAAACACTTTATGAAGAACTATGAAAAGATGAGCGCAAGTTTTGTGATTATCTTCAGATGAATATCAAGACATTCAACAAATTATTAGGAATTAGGAATTATCTTCACGCACAATCCCTGACGGGGTAGCCAGAGAGAACAGATCGCCAAGTGTCACGATCCTTACATACCTCTTTCGCTTCTTTCAGATTCATTATCTTCTTTATACATGCACGTCTAGGTATCCGAGTACTCTTGACCCTACCCTCTTCGAGCAATTTGCTCACATGGTCTTCGAAAGTTAGTCTCGGTCTACCTCGACACCTTTTAATATTAACTTTCGCGCTATATATTTTCTTCACCATTCGGTCTTCACTCATTCGCTGAACGTGTCCAAACCACCGAAGCACGCCCTTATCAATTTTTGTGATAAGGTCATCTTTCAAACCTGCCATATTGCGAATCTCTTCGTTTCGCTTTCGGTCGGTCATGGTAACGCCGCACATTTTACGAAGAGATCGCATCTCCACTGCATTCAACTTGCTTTTATGCTTCTTCTGGCATACCCAGGTTTCGCTGCCATATAACAAAGTCGGTACCTACACTGCGTTATGTATTGCAAGGCGTGCACTCTTCACTACACCTTGCCTTTTGACTAACGCAGTCAGGGCACCATTGACTTTGTTCCCGGCAGCGACACGCCTGTCCACATCTAAATCACATCTTCCATCCCGGCTGAAAGCACTCCCCAAGTATACAATTTCATTTACCTGTTCTAGACATTCCTGATTTACCCATATTTCACACTTCGTTCTCTCTTCGTCCCTTTCAAATACCAGAACCTTAGTTTTATTAGCATTCAAACGGAGACCTTTAATTTCACATTCCTCTTTCATACACGTGACTAATGCCTGCAGTTCTGCCTCTGATAGTGCAATAAGCACTGCATCATCAGCATACAGCAGACAATTTACTTTTATGTCACCCAATTTCACACTCAAACAGCTATCAGCTGAAGCTTCTGTAAACAGCTGTCGAGATACAGTATGAACAGCCAGGAAGACATGACACAACCCTGTTTTACGCCCGTTTGGACGCTAAACATGGGTGACAGGTCATGCCCTACACAGGCTTTACAGTCACAGTAAAGAGACTGCACAGCCCTTAGCAATCGACCATCCACACCATACCCCGTCAACAGTTCCCACATTTTCTTCCTTACAACCTTATCAAATGCTTTCTCAAGATCCACAAAAGCACAGAAAATCTTCTGGTTAGCAGCCAGAAGCTTCTCCGTGATCATGCGGAGAGGAAACAATTGATCCGTGCATCCTCTCCCAGGTCTAAATCCGCATTGTGCCTCCCATAGAATTTTTTCCGATTTCTCTTGCATCCTACGTGTCAAAACCTTCGAGTAAACTTTACTTGCTAAACTGGTCAAGCTGATCGCCCCATAGCACCCGCAGTCAAAATGTGAACCTTTACCTTTATATAAAGGCACAATGAACGCGGATCGCCAATCATCCGGGACATCCCCCTACCGCCAGCACAAATTGCACAGCAGATGAAAGCTGTCCCAGACGCGAGGCCCACCATACTTGACCATTTCAGCAGTAACTCTGTCTAGTCCCGCAGCCTTACCACATTTCAAACTTCGAATCGCACATTCAATCTCTTTCATACTGATGACCTCAGTGTCATCGAGGTCCAGGTCTGGTGTACCAGTCACGGCGTCATCCCCGGATCCCTCACTAAGATCATCACACGCATACATTTCTCTATAAAATTCGCTCCATCGCTGCATGACGTCCGATTTTTCTGAGAGGACGCCATTAGTTCTCGAAAGCACTTTGTTCATTCTTAAGGCCGTCGCACCACTTCTGGTCCTTTCAACCTCTTTCCAGAAGAGTTTGGAGTTCTCCTTAAAGTTGTGCGACAACCTTTCGTCCGCTTCCAGTCTACACCTTTCACGCACTTCCTCAATCAATGCTTTCGTGTGAACTTTCTGCAGCCTATATCTTTCTTTCATCTTCTCTCTCATATCCTTATCATTACTAGAGGCCAAATAGTCTAACCATGCTTTCTTCTTCTTCTTTACAGCTACTTTCACTTCATCATTACACCATGCATCTCTTCTTTTACTACTGCCTCTTTTTATTGTTCCACACACTTCTTCCGCTGCACTTACCATTCCATCCCTAAGGTTCTGCCATGTTCTTTCTACACATTCGTTTCTGCCATCGATGGTGTCAAGCTTTTCGGCTACCCTCGCATGATATTTGTCCCTAGTATCCGCTTCCTGAAGCTTCCAGCTTCGGATGCGACAGACCGACTGTGGTTCTGTTACTGCCGTCCGGTTGCGCCAACCCGCGAACAGACCCCTAAATCTAGTAATCACTAGATAGTGATCCGTTCCCAGGTTAGCACCCCTGAACACTCGCGTATCCATCACCTGTTTTCGCAGTCGGTCATCCACCAGGAACAAATCGATCATACTTCTCTCATTCTTTCGTTCTCTAGTATACATATGGATTTTCTTGTGATTAAACATAGTGTTTGTCACAAGAAGACCCTTTTCCTTGCATACCGCCAGTATAAGCTTGCCAGCATCATTAACCCTTTTATCGCCAAACTTTCCAAGTACCGACTCGTACCCTGGTCGAGCGGTACCAACCCATCCATTCAAATCACCACATACAACAATTCTTTCGTTTCCCCTAGCCAAATCTAGAACTTCTCTTACATTCTCCCAAAACTCCTCCAGCTCAGCCCTGGACGACGAAGCTACCGGCGCATAAACAGCCAAAAGGAATAACTTCGTCAGTCCCAATTTAAAGCGAACCCAGAGAAGTCTTGAGTTCACAACCTTATATTCAGTCATAACATCGACCAACCGAGAAGACAGCAGCACCCTCACTCCCTGGCAGGCGCTCTCGCTCTCCGGGACTCCGGACCATAGAGCTAACGCCCCGCCAGGGAGGTCTTCAGTACCACTGCCCTTCCGTTTGGTCTCCGACATACACACGACATCTAATTTTCTTTCTTTCATTATTTCGATCAACTCATTCGTCTTATCTCTCATGCCTCCTCTAACTTTCCACGTGCCAACTCTGCACTCTGTCCTCCACCTTCCGCCGTGTCAGGCTGTGCGTGACGGGTGGCGGTCCCCATCGCCGCTTTGCGCGCTGCATTCCACACCAACGGGGACGAGCTGGCGTGCGTCGCCTTGGGGAGACGCCCTAACCCTCGTTGGCATGGGTGCGCAGCTGAGTAGAATTGCAGCCCTGAAAAGGGCTGGCAGGGGTCGCGACGAGCACGCTTCTACAATAACCCCCTGACAAATGATTAGATATATTATATAGAAAACTGCAGCAGACCAAGGTTTTAAAGTTGTCTCATGTCTATAAACGTGCCCAAAATTTAGTCCTGCAATAATAATTCTCCACTAAACATATTATAAACGTTTCATAGTCAAAATTCTCCATTATTTTTACGTCTTGATTACTAATTGAAACATAAGTGGCCGGCAATGAAATAACAAAACCACTACAAAATACTGACGGTGTGGTAGCGTAGAGACGTGACGGCGAAGCGACGACGGTATCGTCGCCCTCAGCAGTGAAATGTTATCACAACTACCACCGTCATCCGTCAGCCACCTTCCGGCTGGTAACGAGGCATTCAATCTTAGACCTTAGGGGTAACAACGTGCTAGTGAAGTAAACGTGAAGTGCTAGCGCATTCCTAATCAAGGATAGATATAGGTGTTTATGGGCTACAGTATTCACTTATCTTTGGAGTTTTAGTTAAGAAAAATGGTAAAAAATATAAAATGTATATAAAATAATTAAAATTAATTTATATGTATATAATAGAAACAATTTTAATACATATTTTAGTAATTCAATCCTATTCAACCTCAAAGCCTATTCAACAACTATTGTATTTCGAGCGCTTGCGTACAAAAGTCTCACAGAATCACAGTAGCCTATATTCCGACGAGAACTAACTACAAGTACATATGGATCGCCCGCTCGTACTAAGCGCTTAATTTTACAATAATCAAGAGCTACTCGGATGCGGTTTTCCATTTCTAAGGTCCAAGTTGACTTAGAATCTTCAAAATAATGCATTGTGCGCACACCCTTATAAAACCGAAGTTGTCTGGAAGTACGACAATTTCTAGTTACTGCAACAACAGGACAGGCCGGTTTTGCATGTGAAAGTAATTTAGCAACGCGACCAGAGTTTGTAAGACAAATTATCACAACTGCTTGAGAACGTAAAGCTAATTCGACCGCACCGACGCAGATTGCTTTACTTGGCTCTTCTAAGGGACTTTGCATTAATTCTAAGTTACCATAAATTCGGGGCTGCCAAGTGATTCTTTCTGCATGCCGGCAGATAACAGCAGCAGCAGCTAAACAATGTTCAGCCATACGCACTGCGTCGTAAGTAGGTGCCAATTTTGTTAATGGAGAATCATAATGCAATTCTAATGAAATAACATCAACGCCATCCAGTACTAAGTTTGCTATATCAGAAACACATAACGTCGGAATTTGTTCATTAATTACTGCTTTGCATATGCATGGCTTCCCAAGATAGTTGCATTTAGCCATAATTATTTTCTGTGCTATAAATATTTTTTCTACTGGTAAATCAGTGCTTAATACACATCTATCCAAAAATATTCCATCTGCCTCAAACAGCAATTTATCAATGTTATCAAATCCCATAGTAGTATCAATACAAGCAAAAACTAGAATATGATTTCCTTGGGTAGAGAGAATACTTCTTACATGCCGAATATCATTAATAGTCTGTACGTTTGGTAGTAAAATAGCATCTACATCAGAATTCACTGCCCACAGTATCTGATCTTCTAAAAGTTCAAAAGTTTGGCGAGAAGCATCACTATTTGCTATCGATTCCATACTTCCGTATCCATTTTTATGTGTATTGTTATTTTCTTGGGGCACTTGAGTAATTCTTATTGCCATTTTGGGGCCAATGCTACCTCCAATAGCTACTGAGCATTCAACTGAGTCATCTCCAACTTCAGAAACAACAAGTTTTATTTTATTATGAGTTAAACTATCTATATAGACTATATCACCAGGCTGTAAATCAGTAAGATGATCGTAGCCGACGTATAAACATTCAGATGTACCGCTTTCTCTCCATGTTGCATCGGTCGTTAGTCTGATCGTTGCATTTTCCTCAATTTCTACAGTCGTTTGAGGTCCCCCTTTTAACTCTCCAGTAATAATATCAGGCCCTCTGACGTCTATTATAATTGCTAAAGGATATACATATTGCAATTCAGTGCTATAGTTATAAACTGCTTGTCTAATGCTTTGAATTATTTTACCACATGAATCAGGCTCCAGATCCCTAATATTTAGGTGAGCCACAGTCATCCCCGAAGCAATCAGCCTTTGTATTGTAATTGGCTCTCTGTTGTTAATATTAATATCACACATTAAACCAATTTGAAGTTCTTCGCTAGGGTTATCATGAATGTTTAATCCACAGTAATGTTTCAACAAAGATGACTTTACAAAATCCTTTTTAGGTTTATGAATTGACTCTAGAGGAATATGCCAAGGCAATGCCATTGTAATTATTAAAAAACAATCACAAATTCTAGTAAAAGTTTTTAATATTTTCTAACAAATATAACACATAAAATACAGTCTAAAGAGTAATAATAATTTTATTACATTTAAAAATTGTCATTTCATTACTTTTTTGTCGTTACAACGACAAAAAGGCGATAAGAGAAAATTCATAAGCTATGGTTTTAAATCGATGCTTCGAAACGTGTAAAATTCGGAACGAGAATAGAGCGCTGCTTTATTTTGGTTGGGTAGTTTCATTTAGTAGATTTATTTTTCGATAGATTACTTGATTGTGATCTTCGAAGTCCTTTGGCGATTGCACCAATAATTAGTAATTACTAAACATACAACTACTTATATACTAATAGTTTACAACGTCCCAAGAGCGCACAAAAACACGTCACATATCGATGCATATGTGTTGTTTGAATGCATCTGTGTGCTAGGGAAGCCCACTTGGAGCGCCCACCTTGGGCCTGCCCTATATATCGGACCAGCCAAGAGGAACCCACTCTTTGTTTACCATGGGCAACCAAGCCACGGTTTCTAATCCTCCCGTCACGACAAGACGGGAACCCGTTCCGGGGGAGGGAGGGGAGAGATATGACATTCCTAACCTAAGTAACTTAACGGTATGGCAACAGGCTCAACAGATGTCAACGGTGCCATCCTTTAGAAAGTATCTCCAATAGTTGCTTCACAGACAAAACCCCCGGGTTCTGAAAAATTGCAGATAAACTGCGTAAGCAGTTTTGCGGGAATATGCATATTAAAAAACCAAACTTTGTACATTTAATAATAAATAAATAAAAAAAAAAAAAAAGGTTACCAATTCTTAGTTTGTGGTGGGAGGCATCTGTGCCTACAATAGGCTCTGGTAGAGCTTTGTAGAATCTCCCGTGGAGTTCTTTCTCCTTTCATACGACCTCATGTTTAGAAGTACCGGGTACTTCCCTTGCTCGTTGGCTAAGGATATGCATGGTGAGGGCGCTTAAGAAGCCTTGCCCAACATGTTTCCGCAGCAAGCACAGCCTCATTATCGACGATCTCAGATGATACATCCTGTAGGACGACATGACAATGCGGACTATTCTGTCCAGGACATTTAATACGGTTTTGTGTCCAACTGGGTATGTCAAAAGTACACATCGATATCACACACTAACTGTTTCACATTCACCTCATCGATATCTATGTGTGACATATCCTGGTATCGGTATCTATATTTCAGCCTCAGAAAGAGTCCTTATGTTGAATTAGAAATAGATTTTTGAAGTGAAAACTTCCTTAGAATCGTTGCGATTTGTAACTAAATGAAACGAAAAAGCGACACCAAAAGGAGAAAAAAAATACAGTGAAGACCGCGAAGTCAAAAGGTTGTGGGTTCTAACACCACACTCTACACTCTTTTTTGTCTTTTTTTTTTAGCAAAAAATACTATTGCTAGTATTTTTTTTAAATACAGTGTTATGTATAATTTCTGTCTTCTCTTTTTGCGGCGCTTTTAAGATGGTTAATATACATTTTAACTGTTAAAATAAACAATATAAAAAATTTACAATTTATTATAACAACCCATGATTTCATAACTTGAGGCGATCTAGGTTTTATTTTACGTACCACCTTACGAATCGATAAATTTTTGTTCGATAAAATGACTTTATATGAAACCATGCGTTGGATCCGTTAGAATCATATTAATCTGTGTATGAAACCTATAGAATGAAGCAGATAAGCAGATGGCGCAATTACAAAGCAATTTCACTCGAAAGAAAATATTATTTTGGCTTATTACACTAAAATTTAGTTTAAAATAAGGATTGTAACATTTATTTCCTATGAAATAAAAATTAAAAGTACGTATAATATATTAAATATTAAAATTATAAAATTATATTTTATGCCGCACCTGATTGAAAATGATTAAAAATGATGAATGCAACTTGCAAGGCCATTCGACGGGAATCGCGATGCTTGGTTCGTATAGGTAGATATCGCAAACAACAAATAAACCCGAAATACGACTCACAGAAATATGATCGTAATCTACTTAGTTGAAAATCTTGTAAACAAAGTTTTAATTTCATTATTTTGTGCTGTTATAACTTAAAATATTTTAATTATAAAGACGAGTATAGGTATATAAGTAGCTACTTAGGTAGTGAAGTAAATTTCAACAAGTTTTGTAATAAAGTACTTAGGTATTACTTCTGTAGTTAAATTATTACTTAATTATTTTTGCGCTATAAGTACCTATCTAACAAAAAAATTAAATAAATTACCTTTCATTATACTTCGGTAACTCAAAAAATGATATATCTGAATCCTTTTAACTGCTTATTAAGCATCCATGCTCGCAACAATTATAGTAGGAACGACGTTTTGCCATTATAATTTATCAAATAGATAGGTAATATACATATAATATATTATTCTTAAATTACATTAAAACTTTCAACTATTTTATCCTACAATTAAATATACTAAACACTAAACAAAAACTATTTCGACGAGTATTTCAACAAGTATTTACAAAAAATTATTTACGTAAACAGCGTTAAAAAAAACTTTAACATTCAATCGTATAGAGCGCGCTAGCCCCGACTGCGATCAACCCCTGGGGCAGCTCGCGATTGTAGGTAATTATTTCACGCAGGTAGCAAGAGTGACAAAGGCCCTTCTCGAGCTCACAACTGTGATAAATACTTTCTTCCCGACTGGTAACGCGACTAAAATATAAGACAAGGTTGCAAACTACCGTCAATCTGTTCTTGTAAAAGAATGCACCTGCAAAACCTAACTTTTATGCATCCGTGTGAATTTCTCTTGGCAAACTTGTATCGTACCTATATCGCTAACACCGGCTTATCACATAATTAATTTTTTAAATTTTCAAAACTAGATTTTTGTGACTCGCCCCATACGCACATAGTTTTTTTTTGTTAATTCGGTAAGCGGACGATCTATTATTGCAAATTTATGGATGAACTTCCTAAAATAACTACATAGACCAATAAACTGACGCACTGTACATTACTCGGAACCGGAAATCGAGATACAGCTGCCAACTTAAATTCACCCGGTTGAATGCCATAGCATGATATTTCATAACCTAAATAAGAAATCCTATTTTGTAAAAATGAACATTTGCTCATATTTAATTTTAATTTCTCCGTTTGCAATTTTTTAAGAACTTTATCTAATAAATCTAAATCTATTTGAACATCGACTGACGGTAGCAAGAGATCGTCAAGGAATGCTAATACCTCTAATGACCGTTTGATGAAATTATTGGAGTTATTTTTATCTAAATGATTTACTTTAGAATTTTCTAAACTATCTACGACCTTGCTTATTAAACGCATAAACACCGAGGGAGCGTTAGCGAGACTGAAAAGAACCCTATTATATTCATAGTGTCCGGTGTGACAGAGGCCGTTTTGTGTGTATCTTCAGGATGAGTGCTAAGCTGATGGTACCCTTGGGCTAAATCAAGACTGGTGAAATAGTTCATGCCCGATAATTTAGAAATTTGCCCATCGATATTAGATAATGGATATCGATCACGGATAGTTAACGCGTTTAGTGCTCGGTAATCAACTCATAGACGACCATCTGCGTTCTTTTTTTTAACTAAAGCAACGGGAGAAGTATATTATTTTGTAATATCTGCTTCCGATAGCTCATTAATTTTGAATTTAACAACCTCTTGTTCGTGATGTGCTAATCTATAAGGCCTACGGTGTACTGGTTCATTATTGGATAATCTAATGCGCATTTGTAATAAATCTGTTCATCCCAACTCCTTAGTACAGCTAGTAAAACAATTACTATACCAAGATAATAAACTGATTAATTGATTGTGATCAGATTTACTTATTGGGCCTATCTTAATTTTATCTAAGTGTACCCCACCAATGGCATAATTATCAACACATGAGGCACTCAATTATAAACACATTTGGTTAGTGGCATTTTGCAAATATTGGCATGTTGACTGACCTGATTATTTATGAATTGTTCCTGGCAGCTCTCAGCGCGAAGTAGGACGGTTCCTTTCTTCTATATGATGTCCTTGGCTCCGCTGTTGACGACCTTGAGGTAGCCTTCATTTCCGCGTAGAAGCGTTGTTGGCAGAGAGAAGGATACTTCTTGGAACTCGAAGTGTCCCGCAGGTGTTACTACGTGGTTACTGGCCGCATTGCCAATAATATGAACCTTGATAATGGAGATACCTAGTGGTAGGCATTCAATTGTAGCAGTGACGACACGAAATCTGCTACCAGCTTCAGTAGCATCCAGATTGGAAAGGAAATTGAGCTCCTTCTGAAGTGTAGCTTTGCCTTTATGTACTACTAATGACACGCCTTCACTGTTTATAACCGGTTGTCCGATCAAAAGATTTACGCCGCTAATTTCGGTGTCAGTTAGTCACAGGCGTTGGTCAGGCAAGGGACAGTTGCGTACGAAATGTCCAATTTTCTTGCAACGTGGACATGGATCAGTGTCAGGGTTCGCGGAAGGTTTCCTCTCTGTGGGGTGCGACATATCCTTGTAGCCGCCTCTGGTATCCGTTACAGGAACTTTGTAGTCATCGAGTGCCGACAAGAAATTTTCATATAATTCGTCAGGTCGTTCACATTGGATGCTCTCGCATTTGATTGCAACGCTAGAGGCAAACCTCGTATGATGCAGGACACCGTAGCGATATCTGACAATTTGCTTCTGAAGTACAAAGCAACTCCTTGGTAATAATTTGTCATGCTTTCAGAGGGTAGTTTTTTTTCTGTTAAGCATTTCTGAGAGAACAAGAGCGTAGTCTCGATGTTTCGGGAATGCACGAAAAAACATTTCTTTTCATTGCTCCCAAGAATAGTCGTACTCATCGAGTCGATTATACCACTTTCTTGCCTGTCCTCTCAACTTGTCCTGAAGGTGAAATGACTTAATTTTGTCATCCCAGCGGTGGATTTGACCTAGTTGTTAATTTTTTTTAT